ACAGTGCCACCCAAGACGAGGAGTACGCCGCTTTTAAGGAAGCCATCGCTGGACTTGGCACTGCTGAGAGCCCTTCGGCGAATAACAACGAGAGATCATCAAAGGGAGACGAAGAAACCGATGACCAAAACGAAGCAAAACACAGTGAAGAGGAGGAGGAGTCTGACAGAGAGGAGGAGGAAGAGGAATTGAGTGGGATGAAGGTTAAAGCGCCCTACTACAGTTCGTGGGGGACGCTGGAGTACCATAATGCCATGATTGTGGGCACCGAGGACCTCGCAGACGGCAGCGCAGGCGTCAGGGTGCTGTACCTGTATCCCACCCACAAGGCTCTGAAGCCGTGCCCGTTCTTCCTGGACGACAAGTGCAGATTTAAAGAGAACTGTCGGTAAAAACGGGAAGGGGCTGGGAGGGGCTGATGTCCCTGTGGCCAAAGGGGGGTCCTTCGGAGGGGTCACCCTCCTCTGAAGGAGCCGTGTGTGGCTTTTCTACCCAGCAAAATGGAGCCTTTTTGTTTTTTAGTTTTTTAAAATATGGTAAACAGGGACTGTTTTCTTTAGCTCATGCAGAGAGGAAATGGAAAATCCCGTGGGAAAGCTGCAGAGATTTTACGTAATCATCGAGTGGTGAAATGAGTAAACTGATGAAGCATTTTAAAATGAAGCACCAAAGCATGTCTGTGGATGGTGCGTGCGTTCCAGGCGCACGGAGAGGTTGTAGGGTCGAGTCTTCCTCTTTGGAGATCTTCAGCAGTGAACGAGATCAGGCCCTGAGCAACCTGATGGGTCTTTGAAGCTGGTTGTGCTTTGAGCAGGAGGTGGGACTAGAGACCTGCCTGTCTCTGTGATCCTGTTTATCCCAAAGGATCTGTGAACTTTTTCACTGGATGCTTAAGGAAAGGTTAATGCCCCAGAGTGGGATGGGTTCTCTGTTACATGGCCTAAATAATACGTTTAAGATGAAAAATTAATAACTTGTGTAACTGAAATAACGTGTGATAGAACTTCCATAATTACTGGGGAAGCTTCATCACTGCTGACAACTCGTTTGCATTTTCTTGAAGGAGAGGAGGAATTTTTGTTTAAAGCCTGCTGAAACGAGGCGGAGATAATTCCTCTTGTGCCTTCCCTGGCAGGTTTTCACACGGGCAGGTGGTGTCTGTGGAAGAGCTTCAGCCTTTCCAAGAGCCTGACCTGGGCACGCTGGGGGTGGGCTCTGCCTGCCTGGCGAAGCACAGCGATGGCATCTGGTACACGGCGAAGATCACCGGTGAGTAACCCCAGCACAAGGACATGGAGCTGCTGGAGCGGGGCCAGAGGAGGCCACGGAGATGCTCCAAGGGCTGGAGCACCTCTGCTCTGGAGACAGGCTGAGAGAGTTGGGGCTGTTCAGCCTGGAGAAGAGAAGGCTCCGGGGTGATCTTATAGCAGCCTTCCAGTGCTTAAAGGGGCTACAGGAAAGCTGAGGAGGGGCTTTGGACAAGTGTGCGGAATGACAGGACGGGGCAATGGCTTTAAACTGAAAGAGGGGAGATTTAGATTAGATATAAGGAAGAAATTTTTCTCTCAGAGGGTGGTGAGGCACTGGCACAGGTTGCCCAGAGAAGCTGTGGCTGCCCCATCCCTGGAAGTGTTTCAGGCCAGGTTGGATGAGGCTTTGGGCAACCTGGTGTAGTGGAGGGTGTCCCTGCCCATGGCAGGGGGGTTGGAACTGGATGATCTTTGAGGTCCCTTCCAACCCAAACCAGTCTGTGATTCTATGAGTGGCCCCTGAGTGTGCTCTGCCAGGCTCTGCGGGGTTCTGCATGGAGGATGGAGGCTGCTGCTGAAGTGAACATGAACTTGGCATTTTTCTATTTTGATAGAAAAACGTTGACCGTGTAGCTGCAGCCCCAAACTCAAACCCGTGACGTAGCTGAGAGAAACATTCTGGATTTTGCCAGGCTTGGGAAGGGAACAGGCTGGGGACAGGAGAGCAGCAGGCAGAAAGGAGACATAGGTGCAGGAATGTGGATGGGAAATGAGTACAGGAGCTGCACCAGAAGGGAGGAGACAGGCACTGCAGGAATCTGCATGCGGATGAGGTTGGAACTGCAATAACGTGCTCTGGTTTAAACAAAACCAGGGGAGCTGGCCCTGCCCATCCGCTGCTGATGCAGCTTCCCGTGTCCCGGGAATGGTGGGGGTTTGGTCTCTCTTTCCTCCTTTCTCTGACTATTATCAGGTTAGAGGGGAGCAAGTCTAACTTCTCTTTAGTTCCATTTCTCAGCAGCCCATCTCTCTTCTTTTTTAGAAATAAACCTTTAAGTATCAGCACAGGCACTGTGGAAACAGCTTTTCATTGCAGCTTCTCCCCCCCCAGACAGAAAACTAAAGCACAAAGAAAACCCAGATTTTTTTTAGCACACGTGTTCCTCAGACCTTCCCCTTTCCCTTGTCGTTCCGCCAGAGCTAGCTCTGTTTTAGGAAGCCCTCTGCCAGTGGCATGTTGGAGGCTTACTGGAACTCTTGTCCGTGCTTTTCCTGCTGTAGACATGGACAGTGGTTACTACACGGTGAAGTTTGATTCCTTGCTGCTCAAGGAGGCCGTCGTGGAAGGAGACAGTGTCATTCCCCCTCTGCGCAGCGAGGATGTGGCCTCGTCTGCCGAGTCTGATGAAGACAGCGTGGATGATTCTGGTTATGCTAAAGGTGAGAGAGTGGGGACGTTGTGAGCAAAAGCGACTCGTGGTCAAGGTCTGCCTTTCTCCAGGACCTATGGAATTACCCTCCTGGACCTTTCATTATGTCACCTCTGAGGGAATAGTAGCTCGTCTCTTTGTGTGTTGCTGAAAGACAGAACAGTAATGAGCTGTTATGTTACAATTGCAAACGAAAATCTTTGGTTTATGCAAATTGCTGGGCTAGTGAAGGTTGGAGATTTCCACGGGACCTTCCAGCATGTGAAAGAGGAGGGTGTGATAATACAGAGCTGGGTTCCAGGCTCCGAGTCTGTTTCTTATGTGGGTGGCTGGTTCGAACCAAGAAGTGAATCAGGAGACTTCTTCATCTCTGGGAGCTTCATGCAGCTTCACGACATGAGAGCACGAGACCCCAGTAATTGTGAGTGTCTGGTCCTCCCAGTGCCTCGATAAGGCAGCAGTAACAGCCATGCCCTGTTTTGCTGCTGAGAGCTGGCACAGAGAGCGCCCTTTGAGATCACACAGACAGCACTCTCCCTGTGCTAGTGCCAGTTGCGTCACAGGGACAAAATTGTGTCCTAGAGCTCTTTAATTTGGCCTAATAAACATTATTGGATCCTAATAATGCAAAATTAGCTTTGTGGCTGAGAGGAGCCTCATGCCAGAGCCATGAGCTGGAGGCACAGAGTAAGTAATATGTGCCCCTGTGCCAGATTTGACTCCGATGGCATATGTCAGTCTGCGTCACCATCCCAGAAGGAAGGAAAGGAAGCTTAAAAACTTGTGGATGATTCTGCCTGAAACTGTGAGATGGTATGTGCATTAAGTTGAGTGAGGTCTCTCTTTTGAGTGACTCGCTGTGCAGTGTTCCCAAAAGGTGACAGCTCAGTAGGAACCAAGGAAGGCTGAAGGAGCTGCCAAAGGATCCTAGCCCGGAGAAGGGTGTCGTGCTGCCTCCGGAGCGGTTTTCATGCTGTGGGCCTGCCCCAGGCGAAGGTTTTGCGTAGCAGCTTTATTTCTGTGTTTCACTGATTCTTCTTTTTCTGTGCCACAGTGGTAGATTCAGGAGTTCCGGAGAACGGGGAGTGGACTCCTGCGTGCAGTTCCTCTTTCGGCGGCTGGGAAGCCCATACTCGTGGTATCGGCTCCAAGCTGCTCGTTCAAATGGGATACGAGTTTGGAAAAGGTAAGAGGAGAAAGCCGTCCTGGTGGTGCGAGGGCCCAGCTGCCTTGTTGTGTCAGTCCCCTGATGGATCCTAAAGCTAGTTAAGATAAAGAAGATTTTGGGATGAAGCTAAAGCTTTTCCTTGCCGAAAGGCCTGTTGGATGAGGCTCACGCTGTGTGATGGATCACAGCTGTGTGGAAGTGCAGGCATAGGTGTGCACCAGCCCCTGCATGATAAGAGCAAAAACTGGAGGCACTTGGTCAAGTTCCTGATTAAAGCCGTGAGAACTGTTGCACGGGATGTTCAAAGGCTTTAGGTAGAAGGGACCTGATCTGTGAAGCTTCTGATGTCTGTGTTAGAGCATCTCCTGGCTCTGGGCGCAGACTTCAAAGCCTGCTGAGCTAGCTTCTCACTCACAAATCCTGCTGAGCCTTGGGGGCTTTAGGAGGCCAGTCTGCTACTTGTGCTCGTCGCTGGTTCTCCCAGAGGAACCAAACCAGTTTCCGGAAGAACCTGGCTTGAGAAGCTGAGAACGTGAGACCCAGTGTAGTTCCATAGAAACCATCCTGGCGGGTGGCCTCGGGCTTTTTGTCACGTATCCTCTGCTGTGGAAGGCTCCTGCCGTAGCAGCCGTGTGTCCTGCAGCTTTCGCTGCTCCCCGTGGCTTGGGTGGAAGTTTTGTGCCTCCAGAGCCTGTTGGTTTGTTCTGAACTGGGACTGCCCGCCTGAGCCTGTGCTGGGGGGGTGACTCGAGAGGGGATGTTCCCACCTGCAGTAACCGCTCGGTGTCTTTCCTCAGGGTTAGGGAAGAATTGCGAGGGCCGGGTGGAGCCGGTGCAGGCTGTGGTCCTTCCTCGAGGGAAGTCCCTTGACCAGTGTGCTGAGGTGCTTCAGAAGAAGAAACAGGGGAAGCTGGACGCAGGCAAGTCGAGGAAATGCCGAGCAAAGGGGAGCAGCTCCGGACAGTCTCTGGTGGGCCGCCGTAAGCCTCCCCACAACGTGTTTGACTTTTTGAATGAGAAACTGCGAGGGAAGAGCACCGGGGAGAAGGCTGGAGGGATGGCAGTGCCCCAGAGGAAGAGCAAAGAGATCTACCACGCTAGCAAGAGCACCAGGAAGGCCCTGAGTGTCCGCCTTTTGCAGACAACAGAGCAGATTGAACAAACGCAGAGGGATATCAGAGGAATCCAGCAAGCCTTGGCACGCAACATTGGACGGTAGGAAAACACTCTCTTTGGGACTGCAGGATGAACTGAGAATTCTTGGCCCTTCTGGGAAGGGTGGGTTTGAAATGGGGCGTAGGGGGAGCGAGTGAAACACATCTGGATGAGACCAAAGGAGAGGTAGAGGAGAGAGACTTTGGCATGTGCTTCAGAGCAGCTGGGACAGTGGCAGATGTGTCCAGGGTCCTGTGGCTGGAATTCAGGCTGTGGAGAAGGAAGGGTAGTGTAGTCCTTTCCTTCTCATGCCCATCTGTGCAGCGTTGCTGTTGAGGGTCACAGAAGGACCTTTGCTAGCCCACGTTGTGCTGAGCATCAGTTCTTCCTGGCTTTCAGCAGGTCACTCGCACTAATCCCGCAGGAAAGGGCAAACCCTCCTGGGATGTTGACAAGCCTTTGATCTTATTACGCAGGATGACATTGCCCTAATCCTTCTTGCTTTCAGGCACAGCGTTGCTACAGCTCAGCTGGAGAAGAAGCTGGCGAATGCCCACAAACAGCTGGGGCAGCTGCAGGCCCAGGAGGCCAGCCTGCAGCGGGAGCAGAAGAAAGCAGACACGCACAAGAAGATGACGGAGTTCTAGTCTCTGAGAAAGGCCTTTGACTGCGGCCATCGTCCTTGTAGCCAGCCCCGGGGCTTGTGGCCTCAGAGCCTGGGTGAGCCATCCTGGGCCTCAGGCTGCCCAGCCTGAAAACTGGGCTGAAAAGCAGCAGTTTCTAAACCCAGATGGTTCAGAGCTCTGCTGGGACGGGCGGGGAGGAGGACACATCCGTCCAGCCCTGAAAGCACTGAGTAAGCCCGAGCCTTGTGTAAGGACCAGCCACAAGAAATATGATTCTCTGCTCTCTTTGCACACCTCTTTCCTCTGTCACCGCTGCGGTGGCACCTCCATCCAGGGTCGGTAGGTGCTGGGGTGACAACCTTGCCAGCTGAGGAGGGGCTTTGAAAGCCCCACATCCTGCCACCAACTGTGGCTTGTGCTTGCAGCCACCTGACAAACACAGGTGGAGGCAGGGGCCCAAGCACATTCCAGCAGAGCAGAAAACAACACAGGCAGATTGCTTCAGCTGCTCTCTGCCTTCTGGTTTTTGCTGTGGGATTTACCTGAGAACTCATTTTTTGGAGGGGAGTAGTTCCTGGTAGCCCTAGTGTAATGAACAGACAGAAAACTGGCAGCTCGGGGGTGGGTACTGGTGGCCTCAAGCATCAAATTTCGTCACTTTGACTGTAAGAGTATCCCCAGGACGTGCGGTAGCCTAACTCATTGACTTGGTATGGGAAGCTGCGTGGTTCCACGAGTAGAGTGCCAAAGCTGGGGGAATAAGACAGCAGCGTAGCAGATTCTCACACCTCCGAGCTAGGAACAACTCCACAGGGAACCTTCTGAGTTTTGCCATCATTACTTCAGTCTTTCTGTCCTAGGTGGCTCGCTGAACTTGGGTCCTTTTATCAAAAAAAACCTCAGGACCCAGGTCCAGGTCAGACTGGGCCCTGAATGAGCACAAGGAGCAGGAGGTCTGTGTGTGCCCAGCGTGCAGCCCCTCTGGGGCTCCAGACTCTGCTGGGAGCCGGCCAAGCAAGCCAAGGGCCCTCCCCTGCAGCGTGGAGGGTGTTTGGGCAGGAGTGTCTTCTGCCCTAGGTTATATTCTGCGTTGGCTGCAGCCAGTCCTTGCCCCAGAGGAGAAGGTGGTTTCATCAGACTGTTTCTGGTGGGACTCGTGCGTTGTGCCATTATCTTAAGGACACATTTTTTTCTTAATCTAAGAAATCAATTTCCTTTTATTCTGTGAGTCATTTTTCTAATCAAAAGTTTTGCTCTTTTAGTGATTTTTATCTGTTTGTAAGAAACTCATAAAGCTGTCAGCCTGGGTAGAGCTGCATCTACTTGTAGGGTCAGGCTGCCAAACTGACTAGAAGATCTGAGGCTGAAGGAGATACGATCAGAGTTCTTCGAGTCATGTGAGATTGAGCATTGCTGCAGACGCACCGCAGAAGACACGGAGTGACAGCAGAAGTAAACGAGATGAACATCTTCAGGAAACCTGTTAGAGAGCCCCTCTCCTCTTGGAAAGCACTCGGATCCTGCTGTGGTGGACACCGTGTGGATGTGGAAGGTGGTGTGGGCTCCCTCGAGCACTGCATCCATGTGTTTCTAACGAAATTGGCCGTACTGTCTTCATCGTTCTGAACCCGTGTTCTCCACGCGCTGGCCTCAACTCACAGGGTGTCACAGTGGTTGCTCCGTGCCCTTCCCTCATAAATCACTGGCTGTTTCCCACACCCAAGTGTTGAGTGGTGACAAGGATTAATGTGCCCAGCTTAGCATGGGTTCTTGCTGAAGTGGCCCGTGACTGGTGAGCTGAGATGGGCAGAGAAATGTCTTGGGTTGGCTTTGTACTCTGACGTTATTTAACGTCATCATCTCTGTAAGAATTGGGTGGGTTAGCCCTGTGTCTTGGCTAAGTCGTATTTTGACCTTTCCTTGGAATTTCCACTGTCTTACTTGTCAGACTCCTATTCCAAATGGCTGCTGCCTCCCACCCAAGGCGGTTCACGTCCTTGGTGAATAAATTTGGGTTTTATTTTCTCCCCTCTGTCCTCGTAAGGCGTCGTTCATTCGCAGGGTAATGACGATCTGTGGCGACCTGTTCTTTCCTTGTCTTCCCCTGCGGACAGAGAGCTGGCACTAAAACCAGCTGGGTGGGAAGCGGAGCGCGGCAGAGGGGGCTCTTGTGTGCCGGGTGCCCCCCGAGGCTTTTTTTTTAGGCGGGGAGAAACCCAGCCCACCTGCGGGTGAAGCAACCCCCTCCGAGGCCAGGAAGCGAGCTGTGGTGCCTGCTGCGTGGTATCTGCTCGGAGCTGCCTGCTCGAGAAGGAGCTGAAGAGTGAGAGAGCTGAGATCAAGATGTCCGAAATGTTCGGGAGCCCCTCGTGAGGAATAACTCTGCGGGATAAAAGAAACTGAGTTCTCCAGCTTGGCTGGGGAGGGAGGGAGCATGATCGGATTCACGCTCCTCAGCTTTTGAGTTCCTGCAAAGTAAGTGGCGTTTGCTTCCTTGCCTGGCAATCTCGGGGATCTGCAACTGGACCAGGGGTTGGGAAACACTTTTAAAAAAATCCGTGATGTGTGTAGAAACGGCAGCGTTGTCGGAGCTGCTGCTGCAGCTGGCTGCACTGGACAGGCAGGATCCCCCCACTGCACGGGGGAAGCATCGGCTGGGTTAGACTTTGAGTTGGTGGTGAGGAGGGCTGTGGGCGTCGCGCCGCTTAATGCTCTGTCGCTCTGGAAGCATCTGGGCTTAAAAAGGAGAAAAAAAGATGTTTGAACTTGGCTGTGCTGCTGGGGTCCCGTGGCTTGGGTCTAGGGGTTGAGTGGGAGCCGATTACTTTTGTGGGGTTCAGAGGTGTGGGGCGTTGCTTTTTTCAACAGAAGAAATTCCAATTGTCTTGTGGAGGGGGGGACTAGGTTTTCTTCCTTGCACGTGGAACAGCTCTTGGGGAACTGCTGAGCTCCTGGCTGCAGGTGAGGACGCTTGAGAGAGCGTGGTCAAAGAAACGCTGTCCTCTGTAAACCTGAAGTGTGTCAAACTACAGAATTTGTGGCAAGAAAACCACCGAGCTGGGCAGTGGTTCTCAAGAAAAGCACGTATCTCCATAGTACGCCCATCCTAGATTTTGGAATGTGGCTGCCCACAACTGCAGCCCCGAGGTCCTGCCCGAGCTGGTGTCCTGCTGCAGCTCAGCTCTGCAGCAAACCTCTGTAGCAGGTTCTTGTGCTTAGTGGTGCGTTCCCCGGCCCCGGTGAGCGTTTCCAGCAGTCGCGGAAGGGCGGAAAGAAAGAAAGAAAAACGCCGGAACGATGTCAGCCTCGACCGAAGCCGCAGGGCGCGAGCAGGCGGGTCGCTTGCCTACCTTAAGGTCTGAAAACTCTTTTCACCAAAGCCACTCCAGCACATGAGTAGCGATCAGGACCGTTAACTGGAAATGTGCATCCGAGTTTTGTGACGTTTGAGTCTGGCATTTAGTAACATAGTTGGTCCTTTCTAGAGGAAACGCCTCCGGAGGAGTTTGGCGACGGAATCTCTCCCTCCCGCTGCGGAAATGTCAGTGAATTTGTGAGATATTTGTTTGAAATAGTCTTGAAAGTCACTAATTGCATCCCATGGTCTAGGGCAGACTCAGTGTTGTTGACCAACTGTTAACGGGGCTTTCACTTTCCATAAATGAAGAGGGGGAAAAAAGATCTACTTCTGCTTCTTGGGACTTTTTTTTGGTACAACTCCCCAGGGTACCTGAGCTGTGTTTGCTGCAGCCGTGTTCGCAACCACTGATGGAAACCAGCTCGTAGTGCTTGTCCTGGTTTCTTGCAAATGTGCTTTTAGTAGCTTCATAGACTTTCTTCTCGTCACCCCGTGCCGAGCCTCGTGTGTGGTTTTATCTGGGTAGATGAATCAGAGGCCAGGCGAAATCGGCAGCAGCAGCAGCCCTTAATTTTACAGTAGATTTAATCTCGTTTTCGTGAAACGCAGCTGAGAAACTTGCGCCTGTTGTAGGAGTCAACGAAAAACTCCAACGTCCCGGAGTAACAAACCGACTGCGTTTGTGGTGCCCGTGCTGGGGTGTCGGGAAAGGGAGTTGCTCCGGCGGTGAGCTGGGGGTGCGCGTGGCACGGTGGCACGTACGCAACGGCTGTGACTGCTCTCATCTTCCGAGCCATCCTGGCTCACGGAGCCAGCGCGTTACGACATCCCGTCTGCTGAGGCTCCCGCCCCGGAGAACAGCCCCGGGACTGGGAGATCGATAACTTTATTGGCAGGAAATCCAGGTGTTCGGTTCAGAAGGTCTGTTTGAGACTTTGCCTTGCAAACCCGCTGAGTCCCACCTGAGTGGCTTCAGTCAGGCGCTGGATTTTGCTCCCAAATTGGTAATTCTGGGAGAACCAACGTGTTGTCCCAAGAAGTGGCTTCTCCCAGTGGCCGTTGAGCCTGAAAGCGCGGGCCCTGGGCATTTTTGTGGGTCAGAGATCCAGGAGCAACCACTGGCCTCCCGCGCGACAGAAAGTAGGTCAGAAGAATTTCTCTGTATTAATTTCAACTTGGGAAGCCTCTCCCTTCATCCTTCCATCTTAGAAATTCTGGGATGGAGAATCCCCCCGCTGTGGGATAAGCAGCCCCGTGCGTGCCTGCAGCGTGCTAAAAGCTCGCTCCTCCATTCCAGCACGCCACCAGCTCCCAGCCGTGTGCCTCGGTGTCGTTTTCTCTGCGGAGCCTCGGAGCCTGCTTGGTGCCATCCTGGACGCCGTCGCTCCCGCATCCCGCGGGCCGGTCCCGCTGATGAGCTGAACGAGTTCAGCCAGGTGTTGCAGGTATAATCCGTGTAATTAGTGTGTGCTCAGACGGAAAAGCAGTGTTGTCTAATTAAAATGTCGTTGGAGAGGGAGCAGCCTTCCCTTCCCAGCTCTGATCTAAGCCAGTTTGTCCAGCCCAGTTAGTCCCCAAACCCTCTCTGTCTCACTTTCCACGTTGTAATAATTGCTCTCCGGGGGTTAAGGCTTCAGTCAGGGAAGTTTCCAAAAGCGTGGGA